TGCATTATTTTGCATCAGCAGGTTACCCAGCGAATTGACTTAGTTTGGTTTTACATGAATTCTGGGCCCTTTTTAACTAGAGTCTTCTCGTGTGCTCATTTCCACAGCCAACTGGCCCAGAAGCGCTCCCCCCGCTGAACTTTTGCCTGCACCATTTCAGTGGCATCAATATGTTTGTTGTCAGATTTTGACCCTTAAATTTCATGTTCCATTTTGGTTTTTTTCTGGTCTGTAAGTCGATTCTCTGGCTGCAAGTCGAATCTAAATTTTGCAGCCAGAGAAGTCTGCAACTCGAAAAGTCTGTAAGTCGAGCCGTCTGTAAGTCGAGGGTCCACTGTACATGAATTCTGGGCCCTTTTTACTTAGAGTCTTCTCGTGGGCTCATTTCCACAGCCAACTGGCCCAGAAGCGCTCCCCCCACTGAACTTTTGCCTGCTTCATTTCAGTGGCATCACTATGTTTGTTGTCATATTTTGACCCTTAAATTTCAGAGGACGAGTTGTGGCTCACCTAAAAACCCTAGTTGTAGCTGCTAATATTTCTCCAGTGAGAAAACTACAATGAGAAAAATCTTCAGTATGGTGTATTCTTTAATCTGATTATGTTAAATTTGGAACAGCAACCTCTAGGAATGGGAATTTTAGATTTTATTTTTTGCATTTTTTTAGTACCAGTCTCCTAATTGTCCATTCTGGTTGCTCCACTTGACACACAGACACCTTATAAGCACCTAAATTTGGCTTGCTAGGAAGAAAGGCCTAAACCTGAAGGCTTTGAAGCCTGTCTAGGCCTAGTTCCTATTAGCTCTGTTCAAAAAAAAAAAAATCCCAGCTAGCAGTGGGACAGGAACGGGAAGCCCAGGTGGAGTTAGGCCTAGCTAGGACTGCAAGCCTTAAAGTTTAGGCCTTTCTCTCAGCAGAGCCACGTGTGTCTCTTTGTCAGGTGGAATTATGGGGCCAGGAACAGGAAGCCCAGGTGGAGTTAGGCCTAGCTGGGACTGCAAGCCTTAAAGTTTAGTCCTTTCTCTCAGCAGAGCCACGTGTAGGTGTCTCTTTGTCAGGTGGAATTATGGGGCTGGTAGTCCAAAAAATTCAAAAATCCCATCTTGAGCAGCCTCTTTCAGACAGGCAGTTTTGTCAAGGTGGAGTTTAATTAAGCCGCATAGTGTTACCAGTTCAGTCAGTAAACCGGAGGGCTCGGGTTTCAGTGGCTCCCATCACATCCAAGAAAAACAAAATTGCTAAATGCAGCTGTAGCTGTTAGAATTGCTTGTCAGCTGCAGGGGAGTTCTCAGATTCTCCTTGGAACGTCCAGAAGGCTTAAACATGAAAATCGGATCTAAAAAGCTGATTTAAGCTGGAGTGATGACCGGCAGAGAAACTGCAAAGATATTTGTGGCACAGTGTGAACATGTAGTCAAGCACCTATAAAATGAAGACTCGTTCGGTAAGAAGAGAAGCTGGCAGATTAACATTGGGGATGGTCAACGACGGTCAACCTTTGCTTGCCGTTGCCAGTTTAAAGCTCGGGCTGAAAATCCCAAAGCCTTCAAACTGGGAAAAGGCCAAAAATGAAAGTGGAGAAAGCACACATGTGTGGTGTTTGTGGAAGCAAGCAAAGATTCAGCTTCTGCCCAGAGCAAACAAATGGAAGCTCAGCTGCACGATACATTAAATACATGGCATGTGGCTGAGGAGTTCTTTGGGGGGTTTTGCTGCCAAAGGAAACATGCATGGCCTACTTTAAGTCTTGATTAACATATGCAGGTGTGGACGATTAAACCTTCCCCATCCATCATGCACCCTGCAATATCCCAACCAGGCTTAGAAAGAAAGAAAGAAAAGAAAAGAAAATCCATATCCCAACAAAGAAAGAAAGAAAGAAAGAAAAAGAAAGAAAGAGAAAGAAAGAAAGAAAGAAAGAAAGAAAGAAAGAAAGAAAGAAAGAAAGAAAGACCCTACAGCTGAGTGCCTTCCCTAACTGGCCCTACTACATAAATTATCATTTTCACATTTGAATGCCACACATGATTTCCCTAACTGGCCCTACTACGTACGTAAATTGTCATTTTCACATTTGAATGCCACACATGATGAAGGGGACTGTGCTAGGCCCAGCCTGTTCTGTAGTCACAGTATTCTCATAAAAGTGACTGCATCATGCTGGGGACTGAGTATGTAATTTGAACCAATGGAAGGGAAACAATGGACAGACCGGTGGCTGGAAGAACCTGGATGTGTTTTCTCATCTTGTCTTTTCTATATCATCATGCAGATTGCTCCTTCTAGGTTCCTTTATTTACATTCTCCTTCTCTAAAGTTCTTTCTTCTCCATATCTAGGGTCTGATCACAAACACCATTTGAATCGTTTATTTTTCCTTCTTTTTTATATCAATATATTTGTAGGTATAGTCATGTGGCTGGAAGAACCTGGATGTGTTTTCTCATCTTGTCTTTTCTATATCATCATGCAGATTGCTCCTTCTAGGTTCCTTTATTTACATTCTCCTTCTCTAAAGTTCTTTCTTCTCCATATCTAGGGTCTGATCACAAACACCATTTGAATCGTTTATTTTTCCTTCTTTTTTATATCAATATATTTGTAGGTATAGTCATGTAATATACAATATATAATATAAATAATATACAATATATAAATCTGGGCCTGTTTATTTATTTTATTTATTTATTCAGTTTTTACCCCGCCCCTCTAGACAATGTCTACAACATCTGTTCACATGGATGTAATTTCCATTGGTACATTTCTTATTATTTGTGCCATTTCTTTAAGTTATACGTGCCACCTCATACAAAATGATTCAATTTTTTGTTCTCTTTCTGTCCCACGGCCCTACATGTTTTATTTTTAACTTGGTAAGTGATATATCGCTAAAGCTGCATCATCATGCGAACCGGATAGGCAGTTGCTTCCGCTCATGGCAACGCCACTCCTGTTGCTGGTGATGCGCCGTGGTGGTGTTGCTCTTAAGAGGCATCATGGTGGCCAGTTCAAAAGAAAGGAAGACTGGCAAACTGTCTGATGTGATTGATGGCTGGGCTGTGGCTCTCCTCCTCCTCCTCCTCCTCCTGATGTGATTGATGGCTGCCCTGTGGCTCTCCTCGTCCTCCTCCTCCAGGTCCAGAGGAGGGGTGGGGTGGGGCAAAACCCTGGGAGTATGGCAGGGCAACCAACCAATCAACCAACCAACATGCGACCTCAAAGCCAACTCTCTCCATGTTCAGGCAGCCATCACCCAGACTTCATCCTCCTCCTCCTCTTTCTCATTGCCAAGGCAAGGGTGGGGAGGCTGGGTCACGAGGAGGCGGGGGGAGGGCACCCTGCTTTCAGCTTTTGCAAAAGAGGGGGCGAAGAACCCAAGGCCCTCTTTCAACCTCTCACACCATGTGAACTCCTAAACAGCACAGCGCTGACCTTGCCACTCCACACACCCCCAATTTGCTCTTATTTCATTCTGTTTGGGGTAACAGCCATCTGTCTGCCTCCTTGCCTTGTTCAAATTTCACGGCTTGCACTCATGCACATACATAGCTGGTGCTGCAAGAACTTTGTATGGATAGTAAACAATTTATCGATTAAAAAAATTAAAAAAATTCAAAACTAAAGAGTACAAGGGCAGTAGCTACAATTCCCAAAAACCCATTGGCACAAGTAATAAGTCGACAGCACTGCACACACACGCTGAAACAATAAGAATTGAATACATGATCAGTACAGTACATTTTAAAACAGCCGTGGAGTGAGGTGGGGAAAAACAAATGAATCAATGTTATTTGTGTGTCACATGAATGGAAATTTATATAACGGCAGAATCAATATAGCTGGAATCTTTTTTGGCACATGTGATTGAGCCCTTAGTTTATAAATCATTTCCTCCTCTATTGGATTTTCTAGTACAATAAACAGCAAGGGTCATTCCCCTTTACTGTTTGCCAAACACGAGTTTCCTCAGTGGTCATTCCTCCTCAACAGTCACAAGGTCAGCATGAAGATACTGTGCTGTGAGATACCACAGTCCTAAAAGACAAGGCAAACCCTGCGGGAGCAAGTAGCTTGCACAATTTTTCTACTTTTCAAAAGGGGCTTTTGTGGGGTAAACTTTATTTTATTTTCTTCTTCTGTGGAATGAAGGGAGGCTGATTGATTTTGAAATCTGTGCTTGCAGACCCTAGAATGTTTGCATCATTATTTCCCAGAGCCCGTCACTTTCAAATCTGCAGTGGAGCGGCTCCAGTCATAATAAGAAACACTGCAGAAGTCTTAGTGCCTCTTCAGTCAAGAGAGTCAAGACTTAATTTCCTCTCCTTGAAGCCCAAAAGATGCCACCACACAAACATCACCCAAGATGGACTGTAGACCAGATCAGCTGTTACTTGTGGTGTGCTACACCATGGGCGAATGACCAATTTCGTACACCTGTGTGCATGACATGAAAAGGCATGAAGATGCCACCACACAAACACCACCCAAAATGGACTGTAGACCAGATCAGGTGTTACTTGTGGTGTGCTGCTACACCATGGGTGAATGACCAATTTCATACACCTGTGTGCATGACATGAAAAGGCATAGCAGATTGCTATTCTTTTGGGAAGAAACCTTGACTAGAGCCAACATAGTGTGCCTCTACCCTTATGCTCCACAAAAATGAAGACTTAAGTCCTTATTTATTTTGAAGCCTCTGTGTTCCAGTCAAACGAATCAAACCGCAGTTGTGCAAAACATACATTTGCATCAAAGATCACACCATTTTCCTCCCAGTGGACTCATGTGTAAACACAGCCACCCTTTGTACCATCCTGTCGCCCCCCATTATTTCACTCTGCTTGCGTGTTATTCTTTTTCTAAACCCACTCACTCTTTTCGTACTCTTTCCCTAACTGTTTGCTCCGTGAATCATTCATTTTTTGTTTACCTTTATTAACCAAAGATCAAGGCAAACTGGCTTTAATTACACTGATACTGTATTTATAAAAAAAAAACATTGCCCTATTCAGCATTAACCTCGGCGTCTCTGGAAAGGCTCTTCTGTTGTAAACTCCGCAGACGACAGAAAGGGGGGAAGTGGGAAAGCGCAGAGCCTCCTGCAGCCCAAAATGGAGCTGCTGGCAGCTACTGTGTTTCTTACAGTGTTCCTCTGTTCTAGCGCCCAAAGCCCGCCTGTTGTGGCTTCTGCGGACTGCAAGGATGCAGAAATAGAAAAGGACGCAGGGACGGCCCTCGACTTGATCAATAAGCATCGCAGGGAAGGCTACATTTTCACTCTGTTGCGTGTTGCCGATGCTCATGTACAACATGTGGTAAGTACTATAGGTGCGAGGGGCTCCTTCCGAGGTAAAGGTAAAGGTTCCCCTTGACATTTAGTCCAGTCGTGTCTGACTCTAGGGCGCGGTGCTCATCCCCGTCTCCAAGCCGTAGAGCCAGCATTTCTCCATAGACAGTTTCCGTGTTCACATGGCCAGCGCGACTAGGCATGGAAGCTGTTACCTTCCCACCAAGGTGGTACCTATTTATCGACTTGCATTTTTGCATGCTTTAGAACTGTAGATTGGCAGGTCTTCAAGACCACATGTCAAAAACGATTTATTTTTCATTTCACAGAGTTAACAATAGCTCCACGTTGGAATACGTACTCCCACAGAACTGAAATTTATTTATTTCTTATTTATTTATTTAACTTTTATGCCGCCCACACTACCCAAAGGTCTCTGGGTGGCTTACAACATTTAAAATACAATTAAAAAGACAAAACAATTAAAATGCAATTAAAATATATATTCTAAAAATTGCCATCAGACCCACATTTGATATTATTTCAGTTAAAAGCCATTTGGAACAGGAAGGTTTTGACCTGGCGCCAAAATGTCATCAGCGTCGGCACCAGACGAATCTCAGTCGGGAGGGCATTCCATAGTCTCGGGGCAGCTGCCGAAAAGGCCCTTTCTCTACAAGCCCTCCCTCTTATCTCCTTAAGGGATGGCTCTTTCAAAAGGGCCCCCTGGCTAGATCTTAACTGTCGGGTAGGTTCATATGGAAGGAGGCGGTCCTTCAGGTATCCAGGGCCCAGGCCAAATTGATTTGGTGCAGACATCTAGTCTCAGATGCCTAAATGTTTCTTGTCACAATTACATCATATCTCCCCTTAAGAGCCTGCTTGGATGTTAAAATCATCAGGCCTTTCTCTGAGTCCCACCAACCCTCACAGGAGCGCTTGGTGGGACTACAGGTGATGTCTCCCAGACTCTGGAACCTCTTGCCAAAGGAGGCCAGCCTGGCCCCATCTCTGCTGTCCTTCCATAAGGAGATGAAGATCTTTCCTTTCAGGCAGACTTTTATTTAAATAGCTGCCTGACCAAGGGGATATTTTAAAAGGAGCATTTGATTCTGTGTTTGTCTTGTGCTTTTAATATTATTTGTATTGTAAATTCTAAAATCTATTATCGTTGTTTAACTTTTTAAAAAATGTTGTAATAATGTATTATTTTGCTATGAGCCATCTTTGATCCTTTGAGAGAAAGGCAGCATAGAAATATTTTGAATAAATAAACCACATAAGGTGAGGCGATGAACCTATGCCTCTTGAAATGTTACAGGACTACATTTCCCATCCTTACAGTTGTCCAGGCTGTTCAGAACTAAGGAAGACTGGAGTCAAACAACACTGGAAAGGCCACTGGAAAGGTTTCATACTGCAGGGGAAATGATTTAACCCCCAAAGGAAATCAATATGTTTATTTAAGACGTCTTTAAGTCACTTAAATGTAGGCTTCCAGTGGAATCGGCTTGGCTTAATATGCCCTCAGTTATTGAACCCTTCTGATGAATTTCAGAGGAATAAGGCTAATCGTTGGCTTGCAAAATTCAATAATTTGCTTTCATCTGTGTTTATTAATCCCTCTACTTCCACTGCCCAGGCTATTGAGTACCACCATAGTTACTTTGCAGTCAAAACTGCATCAACCAACCACCTAAGTGAAGAAAGTATCAGCAAGCTTGGGTATCTCAACATTTCCAAAAGCAGAAGGAGACTCCACACACATCTATAAGAACAAATCAGTGAAAAAATGAAGATGTCCAGCATCTACAAAAGAACTCAATGGCTGTTGTCAGGGGGAATGCATGGCCAGGGGATGGGAGGGTGAATGAAATGGAATGAATGATGTGGCTGGAAGACTGAACAGTCTCATTCCACACTGCAACAATTCGATGTAGTTTCCAGTTTTTCTATCATAAATCCCTTTGAGCATTCTTAACACAAAAAAAGATGATCAGTGCATATGATAAAGAAACAAATACATGTTTGAGTTGATGGGAATGGGATTTTTGTTCAATCAATATTGAAAGAAGGGAATATCTGCACCTTTTCTCCTCTCTGAATTCCTTCCATTTCCTAGACCAGTGGTTCCCAACCTTGGTTCCTCATACGTTCTTGGACCAGAAATTCTGGCCAGCACAGCAAAGGTTGAAGCTTCTGGGAGTTTTAGTCCAAGAACATCTTAGGGACTCACGTTTGGGAACCACTGTCCTAGAGGATTGTGAAGAACTACTAGAGACTTAACTTCATAGGGGACACTTTTCCAAGTCCATTTTGTCTCATGAATAGTATTGACGGGTGAGTCAATACTATGGGAAATGAGTCTGTTTTGTTCCTGCCATCAAAGCATAAATTGATGCTACTCCAATGTGACTTGCAAAAATATTAATTTGACGCCTGAAGACAAGTAGTTGGTTCGCTGGTTCAGATCCAAAGCTAGAACATACCTTTCCAAACCCCTTTCGCCTTCCCCACCTCTTTAACAGGACCAACTCTACAGAAACCAGTTTAGAGAAGAAACAGACTGGTCAACATCACATTATAATTAAGAGCGCAAGCATTCTGATGTTCACATAAAATAATGGTGTAGATCAATGGTTCCCAACCTTTGCGTCCTCAAGATTATTGGACTAAAATTCCCATAAGCTTTCACCCACTACCTTATAGTCCAAGAACCTTTGGGAACCCAAGGTAGGGAAGCACTGGTGTACTAACCGCCCTGGCCATGGTTTCTGGGAGTTGTAGTCCAAGAACATCTGGGAACCCAAGGTAGGGAAGCACTGGTGTAGATAATGGGGGTAGATTAAGCTATTGATAATTTATTTCATTTTCTAATGAGACTAATGTGTCTGTTGTTTGGAGAACCAATAAAACTAGAACTATTATTAGCTTCCCCCCCCTCCCAACTGGCAATAACAGCTACATGGAAGCATTCTGATTTCTCAAAAACTCATTAATGATCAGTGATTAATGATCTTATATATATAATAAGAGTGGTCGACCAGACCAGATGGGTGGGATAAAAATTAATTAATTAATTAATTAATTAATT